CTCGTCTCCTGATCAGGAGGAGCTTCGGCTCGGACTTTCCTGTTCTGCGTCTGCACTCTGGCCGAGGCGGAGAGTTCTCCTCTGGCCTTCTGCGAGCCTACTGTCGTGCGCGACGCATCCGCCAGACCTTTACGCTTCCGGACTCTCCACAGCGAAATGGGATTGTTGAGCGCCGCATTGGCATGGTCATGGACATCGCTCGTACGTCCATGATGCATGCGGCTGCCCCCCATTTTCTGTGGCCGTTTGCGGTTCGGTACGCGGCGCATCAGATCAACCTTCAGCCCAGGGTCTCCAGGCCGGAGACCTCCCCAGCCTTGCTGTGGACGGGGAAGGTCGGCGATGCATCTGCGTTCCGTGTCTGGGGATCTTGGGCGTTTGTCCGCGACTTGTCTGCGGACAAGTTGTCCCCTCGTGCTGCTCCCTGTGTCTTCCTTGGCTTCCCCCCTGACGCCCCTGGGTGGTAGTTATACCACCCCACCTCTCGTCGTGTTCTGTCCTCCCAGGACGTCACGTTCGACGAGTCATTACCCTACTACCGCCTCTTCCCCTACCGCACTCCTTCCCTCCCCCCGCCACCGCACTTCCTTGTGCTAGGTCCCCCCCCGGTAGACCCCCTCCCCCCTCAGGGTCCTGCCCCTTCAGGTGTGTCCCAGGTAGATGCAGTTGAGCCAGTCGAGGTTGCTGGTGACTCTGGTACTCCTGCGGGTGCTGAGCCTCGGGGTGCTGACTCTGGGGATGCTGCGCGCGTGGGTGCTGAGCCCGGAGGTGCTGCGTCTGGGGATGCTGCGACTGGGGGTGCTGAGCCTAGGGGTGCTGAGCCTGGGGGTGCTACGACTTGGGGTGCTGAGCCTGGGGGTGCTACGACTGGGGGTGCTGAGCCTGGGGGTCCTTCGCCTGGGGGTGCTGCGTCTGGAGCTGCTGAGCCTTGGGGTGCTGAGTCTGGAGCTACTGAGCCTGGGGGTGCGGAGCCCGCGGCCGCTGGACCTGCTCGTGTGGCGTCTTGCGGTGCTGGGCCTGCTGGTTCTCCGGGTGCTTCGTATTGGCGAGAGCCACTCTCTCGACAGGAGCTGCACGAGTGGTTTGCCTGGCGCTGGAGGCGTACTACTGGAGCTGGTGCTTCTTCGGCTGCTGAGGGTGCTGGTGCCGTAGGTCTCGGAGGTGCTAGTCCTGCGAGTGCTACTGGAGTCGGAGCTGCTGAGGGTGTTGGCGCGGAGGCTACTGCTGTCAGTCCTGGCGGCAGTCCTACTGCGGGTGCTACTGGTGCTGCTGGAGGTACTGGAGCTGGAGGTGCTGTTGACGCTGGTACTGCCGCTGGGGGTGCTGGTGCTGTCCCTGCTGTGCCTGGAGTCGCCGCGCGGCCTCGGCCGTACTTTGTTCCGCTCCTTCAGCAGGTTCTTGGTCTTCCTCCTCCCTTAGAGTGTCCACCGCCTATCCAGTCGCAGTCACAATTACCACCAGTCTCCCTACTGCCTTCTCCTTCTCCGTACACTGGTCCTACTGGAGGTCTTGCTGAGCGTCGTGAGCCTGCGTCTCGTCCTGCGTCGCCTGTTCGTGCTGCTCGCACTAGTGGTCGCAGTTCCCGTCAGCGTCCTCCTCCTGTCCCTGGCACGCACCGGATGTCTCTGCGTCCGTCCACTGCTCCTCTGCGTGCCCCCTTGCCCTCTCCTCCTGAGTCCTCTCTTCCTGTGCTTGCCGACCCTGAGTCGGACTCTCTTCGTGCTGCCAGTCCTACTGTCACGCGTCTCCTTGCTACTGTCGTCACTGACCCCTCTTTTGAGTCCACTGTTGCGTCTGCTCTTGTTGCTGAGCTCGTTGACTTTGCTGCTCACTGTCGTCTAGACTACGCTGCTAGTCTTGTTGCTGAGTCTGCGTCTGTCTGTCCTCCGTCCGTCGTGGGTGAGTGTGCTCTTGGCACGGACGTCCTTGAGGACAGGCAGGAGGAGTTCCAGTGTCTGGCTGCTGCTTCACCTCATCTCGCGTCCGTACTGCTTACCCCTGAGGGAGACCCGAATGCACTAGACATCCCGACTCCGCGCTCTTACGCGGAGGCCGTAGAGGGTCCCTACTCTTCTCAGTGGCAGGCAGCTATGGATGCAGAGATGGCTTCCTGGAAGTCCACAGGCACCTACGTTGACGCGGCTCCCCCTCCTGGGGCGAACATCGTCAGTGGCATGTGGATCTTCAGGGTGAAGCGGCCGCCGGGATCTCCACCTGTCTTCAAGGCGCGGTACGTGGCTCGTGGCTTCAGTCAGTGGCAGGGAGTTGACTACTTTCAGACCTTCTCTCCCACCCCGAAGATGACCACTCTTCGGGTGCTGCTACACGTAGCCGCTCAGCGTGACTACGAGCTTCACTCCCTTGACTTCAGCACTGCTTTCCTGCAGGGTAGCCTGCACGAGGAGATCTGGTTGCGCCGTCCACCATGCTGGCCTTGTGTCGAGAGCAGAGACTGGAGCACAGAACGAAGCACATTGCTCTTCGCTACTTCCTTGCTCGTGAGCTGCAGCAGCGTGGTCAGTTGCGTCTTGCGTACGTGGCCTCTGAGGCCAACACTGCTGATATCTTCACCAAGGCACTTGCGCCTTGTGATCATCAGCGCTTCTGTACTCAGCTTGGTCTTGTGCCTGTCTTGCCTCACTTGCTCACCTCTTGACCTTGCTTGTACTGTTACATATATATACACTTGATCTTGCTTGTCTAGCTTTCTATGTATATGTACTCATGCATGTGAACTGGCCTTGTGGCCTTGAACTTGTGCTCGGAATGTGTGGTGACTTTGTGATCCACCCTGAGCTTGCTTTGCTTTGCTTTGCTTGACCGGTCTTGTGACCGCTTGTTCCCCCCCCCTTTGCCTATGGGGGTGGGTCAGCACATTATAACTTATGCTTTTGTGTAGGCTGTAGTGGGGTGGCCCATATGGGGTACAACCCAATTAGGGTTAGTACTTGTACCCAACTGTTTCATAGTTGATTCATTCTCGTTCACATTTTCTCAGGAAACTTTGAACAACCATAAGCGACGCTGGCGCTGCGCCCGTGACCTTGACAACACTGAGCCGTACAGTCGGTACCAGGGTCCGGAGTGGCCGCGCACACGGACTGCGAAAACAAGGCCTGGGAACATACACGTGTTCGTGCGAGACTACTCCAAGATTGCCGCAGTTGTCATGCAAGCTGAATACACTCGTCTGCTGGAAAAAGATGAGCAACCGACACCCAAAAAGCTAGCAGATAGCATTGAGCATCTGGTTACTACGAGTCGCGCTTATGCACACAAACTTTGTCGCATCGCGGAAGATAAGTTGCGCTGCTTTCGTGACATGGACGACGCCGCTGACATCTCGCACATTGACCTGAGGGTGATAGAGGCAGTTTCCAACGACCAACATGACCCAGCATCTGTGCGCGAAAGAGCGCAGGCATTTGTGGAGCTCGCGGCTGCGGGGTATCGAGGGATCAATGTTTACGCGAAGAGCGGTGACGAACTCGTTGCAGCGGCGCCGCCGATAAGTGACTATTGGCGATACCTGATGGAATTTGCGCATTCTGAGGTATGGGTGGTAAGTTTTGATGGCATTCCTGTTGTGTGTTAGTGTATCTTGCCATTAGTCGCTCTGTCCTACAAAGCGCCTATACGTGTGCCGCCAAATGTGCCTAAAGTGATTCCAGGTCATTGTTGTGACATACGACCTGCGTACATTTTAAACGTGCAGCTTTGCAAGGGATTTTACAACCGTTTTGGCGCGCCTGACGCTCGACTGGATTTCAAACACGCCAAGCTCCCGGACTGTATCCCAGACAAGTTCCAGCATAACTCACACATTGGCGGGGAGAACGGCATGGGAGCCGGCGTGCTTGCACACGCTCTAGGCACGATGGCATGGTGGGAAGTACCACCGCGTGAGGCATCTGGGTCGTGGCTCTGCACCAACACATGGCACTACTGCACGTACCCGTGGGAAGTGCCCGAAATCTGCGAGGGGCCCGTCGTCTTTTGGCTGGTCGCACAAAACTATGACGACTTACAGCTTGACCCTCTCTGGTGCCTGAATAGGGATTGCAAGGACGAGAAGCTTCCTTATGTGCACCCTTAAATTTCGTTTGTAATGCGTGTGTATGATAGATGGGAAGGTATAACGTAGACTGGTTTGTTGAAGAAACAATGGCTGATGTGGAATATGGGACTGTGCTTGAATGGATGCTATCTCTATGGGAGTCTACTGCTGACGATCCAATACGGGAATTGAGATGTAACGAGTACAACACATGCAGATTAGACAATCGGCAAGCGACGCTCCTTGGAATGATCGTTGAATATCGACTTATTGGCAGCGAATGTAGTCTTAGACGCATTAGCTAGTACATGTGCGGGAAAATATCTCCCGTGCGTGACGCACCGACATTACTGGTTACGCACCGTCCAATGGACGGTACAGTGTGACTCACGCCATACTCGACGACCATTGGCCGTCAACATAAGAGCCCAAAAACTATCGCAAATATCCTGCCAACGTCAGAAACTTGCACGTGCTACGACGTCGTATTGGTCTAAACGGATAAGGCGTGCAGCAGCTGCCAGCTTTCGCGCCAGCATGACAAGCGCAGCGTGCGTAGACGTGAGGGGGGGTCATTGGTGACGTGTGTACACGTGAGACAGGGGGGATAGACATATTGTTGCTTACATCGTCTGGATAGAACCAAAGGCCGGGGAAGGGAGGTCACGATAGCGATCCCTGGCACGTTTGCCGGCTGCTATAATATTTATAACTCCCCTGTGCTAACCATTCCTCATTCTCCGACGGACACACCTTGGCATTGTCGTAGATTTCTTCAGCATGGAGTCCGCACGGTCACCGTACGAGCCGACGAGACGAGGAGGGGATCGCGCTGCTCGTTTACTCCACACGAGTGCAGCGTATGACGTTTTGGCCGTCCGCGGAACTAATCAAGGCAGTGATCGCGCGTGCTCTTCGTCTGCGCACACGGGCTCAGCGTCACATGCTTCACCTCGTGTGGACGAACGACCCTGCTCAGTCCGGATGGTTCATCCGGAAAATGCAGGTTTATCGCAACACGCGCTGGGAGCAGGGCAGGGCGTATGTGTACATCCTGGAGGGCTTGCCGTATGATCCGCCAGCGTTCTCTCGCGTGGCGATGCCTGCTGACATCACGGTCGGCGCGGCGCCTGCAATTTTGCGTCAGGAGTTCATTGCACAGCATCGCGCAGGTAAGTGTCGTCAGGGATCATAAATTAATCTTGTTGCTACCGCCGTGTAATTGCGGCTTGGACGGCCCCCCCTGCATTGAGTGTGTGTTCGAGTATATACCCGCGCCTATGCAGAACAGTGCACACATCAGCTCATGCCCTGGCATCGCCGCAACGACCTCCCGTTCGCTTCCGCATCGTTCGAGAGGGGCATCTACAAGTCTTTCCGGCGTGCCAACCAAGCGCCGCTTGTCTTGCGCGCCTATGTAGTAGCCTTCTGGCTATACGGGGTGAGTTGGGGTATGGTGCTGTCTCCAGAATGCCGAGTTGTGTAGTAGTGGGACTGCGGTTATATACCATCATCCGCGATCACTCTCTATTGTGACGAGATGCAGGTCGAGTTTCCGCTCATCAACGGCACTCAGATGCCATGGTTGGCGCCCCAGAATGACGAGGGGGTACGCTGGTACCACGAGCACGTGGTAGCGTGGGCCCGTCAGAGCATTTTGACCGGCAATGCTATCGACGGACCGTGGTGGGACTGCAACGCACGTGCTTGGGCATTTCGGCAGGGGAGCACCGTCATCATTTCGGAAGAAGGAATGGAGGACATTTCTCCTCTGGCCCCTCCAGTTGCACCCTTTCCGCCGCCTGCGGACGAGCAGGATGGCGATGACGAGTAGGAAGGGTAGGGCGTGACGACGTGGGGGCATGATGCCGGACGGAAGAATCCGGGGCGCAACCATTGCAAGGTTCCCTGGAGAAGCTGGTGCTTGGATTGTTCATGGTCACGTACGGCAGCTGCCAGCGTAGCATCAAATGGGGTTGCTTATGTTCTGTTAGCTTCGTGTGCTTTCCGTTTCGTTTGTTTCTTAGTTGTGTCCTGTCAGCGTTTGTTTGTGCGCAACTTTGGTTTCTTCTTGTCAACATGAATAAATGGTGTGGTCACATCGTGCACAACCCCCTGACATAAACAACCGTACGTCGCTCCCGAAAGTCTGACTAGGAGGGGTGGATGAATGAACGCAATGCAACGCGTCGCGGCCAATGCTCCGCAATTTACGCTGTGCGTAATGCTACAGTGTTTCAGGGTGCAGAGAAGCGAGATTGTATATGTGTGTGTGGACAGTTGGTGTATTTTCACCGTAACATGGTAACAACGTGCAATGACAATTTTGAGTTTGTTTGTACGGGGCGTGCCAATACAGCTGTGCGTATTCGCGTGTGGCTATAGGAGTGGGTGAGTTCGCATTAAGAAACTCCCATGTAGTCACACATTTGCTTAAGTTTTGCGGTTTTTCATTACCATGTACAGCGCTATAGCGAACTGGGTGGTTGAAGGTGACCGACGCGTCGCACGTGTCCACGTGTGCAATATCGTGTATGACGAATGCTCGAGGTGAGTTGAGGCAATCTTTGCCAAACCTGGAGGGGTTTCATTAACCAATGAATCTGCACAATGTCGGGGCAATGGCACTGGCAAAATGGATTCCTCTAGATAGACCTTTTGGAGTGGCACCATGGACATAGTGCAGAGCATGTTTGTGCATTGCTGGGGCATGGATTTTCAGCGGATTTTTTGTGACGACGGGACTCCGCTTGTGACCCCCGGTCGCTGACCGCCAGGAGGACCTCCGCCAGGTGGACCACGATGCGCTAAGGCGGACGTCGACACGAGGAGGAGCACGCACGTGAGGACGAGCGCTCTGACTGCGGCCAGGGCTGGCACTGTATCGAGCTGCGATCGACTAAGTGGCGAAAGTTTGTTGCTGCTGCTTCTGGCAAAATTTAGGTGTTGCAGATCTGAGTGCTTGGGAGTGAGTGGAGGATGAAACTGGAAGCTGATGGTGAGCAAGTGACTGAAATATGACGAGAGTCAATGACTAGTTATACGAGAGTCAAAACTAAGGGGTTTGGCAGGGCTGAGAAGATGGGGATGAGCCAATGGTAACGAGAGTGAGGTCAGTGAGTCAAAGCTACGTGCGCTCTGTGCTTGATTTACGTTGAATAGAAATCAGCAACTCGTGCAAACATTGGGTAGTTGCAGAGGTTCGAGAAAAGCCATACCATATTCCGAGGCTCGGATTCATAGAAACTAACCGAGAGTTGAAAATATGCGACGAGAATCAACGCGTCTTTCATTCGTCGTACAGTGAATGGAAGTCCACTGGCAACAACCAAAAGCACATTAGGGGGTGCGACATTAGATATAGTCAAGGAACTTTGCACTATAAGATTCAAAGTACTATAATCAAATATTTGCAACATTTGCATGACTTTGATATTTAATGAACATTTGGTACTCCATTATGTTTGAACAATATGTCAAACTTATATGCCATAGTCTGTGTAGGCTGTAGTGGGGTAGATAATATGGGGTACACCACTTTTAGGTTTTCCTACTTGTACCCACCTGTTTCCTAGTGCACTCATTCCTCATTTCTTCACATGGTATAGAGCAGGTTCCCCAGTGGGAACTTTTTCCTAGGGCCCACCACTGAAAATCGAGTATTTTTTTTTTCCTGCCCTGAGATCGAGTCGCCCCTGACCGAGGCGCCCCCTGTGTGCCGCCCTCTCCTTAGCGACCCGTCGCGCCGCCCTTAGCCGCCCCTCTCACGGCCCCTTGCAACCCCGTCGCCGCCCCCTAGCGGCCCGTCGCGCCGCCCTGAGCGGCCCGTCGCGCCGCCCTTAGCGGCCCCTTGCGGCCCCACCTACACGGCCCCGTCGCCGCCCTCTCGCGGCCCCGTCGCCGCCGTTCGCGGCCCCGCCGCCGCCCTTAGCGACCGCGTCGCCGCCCGTCGCGGCCCTGCAGCCGCTCCTCGCGGCCTCGTCGCCGCCCTCTCGCGGCCCCAGTGCCGCCCTCTCGCGGCCGCGTCGCCGCCCTCTCGCGGCCCCGTCGCTGCCCTCTTGCGTCCTCGTCGCCACCCTTTCGCGGCCCCGTTGCCGCCCTCTTGCGGCCTCGTCGCCGCCCTTAGCGGCCCCGTCGCCGCCCCTTGCAGCCCCGTCGCCCCCCCTTTTCGGCCCCTCCCCGGCCCCTTCATCGCCGAGCCGCCGAGCTGCCGAGCCGCCGAGCCGCCAAGGCCGCCGAGCCGCCGAACCGCCGAGCCGCCGAGCCGCCGAGGCAGCCGTCGAGCCGCCACTACCGAGCCGCTCCCGCCGAGCCGCCGCCGAGCTGCCGCTGCCGCCAAGCCGCTACTGTCGCTGTCGAGCCGCCGCCACCGCAGTTGCAGCCCTGTTCCTACCGGCGCGCCCCGGCCCTACCCACCCGGACTAGTGAGAGCACTCCCTGCTAGACCGGTGCTGTCATGGCTACCCCAGTGTCCTTACCTTTGATGCTGAAGGTCGTGCTGTTGACTTCGAGGTCTGGGTCGATGACCTACAGCTCTTCCTACAGTGCAATAGGGCAGACGGACTCTCCCTGTTCGATCTCACCTCTGGTGCCTCTCCTGCCCCGCCTGCTGATGCTGACAGCACTGTTTGCTCACAGTGGGCCACACGCGATGCTGCTGCCCGTCTTGCTGTGCGTCGCCACTTACCGACCGCTGAGCGTGCGCACTTTAGTCAGTACAAGAGTGCTAAGACCTTGTACGACGCTGTAGTTGCACGCTACTCTTCCCCTGCCACTGCTGCTCTTAGCCGCCTCATACTACCGTACCTGTTCCCTGACCTTGCTGCCTTTCCCACAGTCGCTGACCTCATTACGCACCTTCGCACTAGTGACACTTGCTACCGCGCTGCGCTTCCTGCTGAGTTCTGTGCCAAGAACCCTCTCCCCATGTACATCACCATCTACTACATAGTAACCCGGCTCCCTGACTCCCTTCGCTTAGTCAGGGACCACTTCCTCTCAGTTTGCCCCACCACACTCACCGTTGACCTCCTCGAGGAGCGCCTCCTGGCAGCAGAGAAGAGCATAGTCGCTGTAGGAGCCTCTCGTGGTGACCCTCGTACCCCCGTCTTTGAGGGGTGTTCCCCCTCCCCCATCTTGCCCTATGTTGCCTCTGCTGCTGCGGCCGACCTCATTGGCTTCGAGTCGGTCGGAGCTGCGTCTGCCCCTAGCGGGAGCCGCCGCACCGGCAAGGGCAAGGGGGGCAAGGGCGCTGGAGGAGCTGGCGGGGGCGGTGGAGGTGGCGGTGGAGGCAGTGGAGGGGGTGGGGATGGTGGTGCGAGTGGTGGCGGGGGTGGAGGTGTCGGTGGCAGCAGTGGAGGCGGAGGAGGCGACGGCGGTGGCGGTGGGAGCGGAGGAGGCGGAGGTGGCGGAGGCGGCGGCAGCAGCGGTGGAGCTGGTCGCGGCGCTGCGCAGTCGAGTGGCTCCGGTGGTGGTCCGCGCCAGCTGCAGCAGCGCACTCGTGAGACCCCGTCCCCCCAGCAGCTTCGTGAGTGGTACGCTGGGCGTCATACGGGTGGGGGTACTGGTCCCTGTACCTACGTCCTCCGTACCGGCGACCGCGCTGGTGAGTAGTGCGGGGGCTCGCACTCCACCCAGCGCTGCTTCGGCCGCCTGACGGACGCTTGGCGTCACCAGTTCCCTGACGCCACTGAGATCCCTCGCTGAGGAGAGCTGTTTAGGGCGGGGGTTGCTATCTTTGATCTTGACTATGATGCTATTCTTGCTGCCATGTATGTTGTGTCTACTAGTGATGAGGGTGACTGTTACTTGTGTGATCCGCCTGACCCGGGCATTGGGACTGCTGCTCTAGGTGCTGATGAGGCTGCTGCTCTAGGTGCTGGTGAGGCTACTTCTCTAGGTGCTAGTGAGTCTGCTGCCCCAGGTGCTGGTGAGGCCACTCTCTCAGGTACCACATCGGCTCAGGCCTCCCACACCTTCACCCTTGACTCGGGTGCTTCCCGCTCCTTCTTTCGAGACAGCACCACACTCATGCCGCTTAGTCGGCCAGTGGCGGTCTCCTTGGCAGACCCCTCCGGGGGTCCTGTCCTTGCCCACTTCTCCACTGTCTTCTCGTGTCCGGCGGCCCCCTCTGGCACCCTGTCAGGTCTTTACCTCCCCTTGTTCTCTACGAACTAGGTGAGTGGTGCAGATCTACAGGATGGGGGGGTTCACCAGTTCACTCCTGCGAGTCAGCGAGTGACCCACTGCACGTGAGCTCGGACGGGCTGACACTTGGCCACGTTTACCCGTCAACCGGGGTCGAGCCTGTACACACTGACTACTGGTCCTCCTCAGTCTATTGCGTCTGGTCAGGTAGCTGCGTCGGGTCAGGCATCCGCTGCGGCGTCCAGGTCTGGTCCTGAGTCTGCCCCCTGCTCGTGTCGTCTCCTGTCTCACGAGACTCTCCTCTGGCAACACCGCCTTGGTCACCCCTCCCTGCCTCGTCTCCGAGGCATGGCCTCCCGTGTCCTTGTCTCTGGTCTTTCCCGGTCCCTCCCTCCTCTTCCTCCGGGGCCTGCCCCTACCTGTGTCCCCTGCGTCGAGGGGCGACAGCGTGCTACTCCTCACTCCTCCGAGTTCCCTCCGACAGAGGCTCCGCTGCAGACGCTTCACATGGACGTGTGGGGCCCAGCCCGCGTCCGTGGACAGGGTCACGAGCGTTACTTCCTGCTGGTGGTTGACGACTACTTGCGTTACACCACAGTCTTCCCCTTGCGCAGCAAGGGTGAGGTCACTGAGGTGTTGATCGACTGGATCCGCGCTGCACGTCTCCAGCTCAGAGAGAGTTCCGGC